GCAGTGAGATGCCTATTTGGGGAGACGCAGAGAAAACGACAAAAACGCTGAGTCACTACACACGCGGTTGACAACGGTCCTGTAGCCGCACACCGGTGGCAGTCTCCAAATGCGTATTACCAGCAACTACCGTACTCTACGCTTACTTTTATTGAGTTCCAAAGACTGACTGAGGTGCTGGTTGTGTGTGTGTAAGGGCTTGTTTTGGTCGGTGAGCTTGACTTTCCAACTCAATTAATTCGCTTGTTATGAACAAGCCTTGGTTAACTATATATGCAAGCATTTGATCTATGGTTAAAAGTTACTGGCGTTGTTTTGCTCTGCAGCCGTAAAGCTAGCAGGAAAGCCGTAAATTAGGGGTCTAGTAAGTGGAAAATGCTCTGGATGTCCGAATTCTCGTGGAGTTGTATGTTCTGGCTTCACTTTATATGCGTTAAAGTAATACGGTATAGTGATTAACTGCGTAACTCTTTAGAAGCCAGAAAATCGCTTCTTGATATGAGAAAAGGGGATGGGGTGAGCGGTTCCGGTGGAATATCTGTCATACCCTCGCTACCCGACCGCCATTTGGACGAGACTACCCGTCCACCGACCTTACACAGGGCCACTATAAAACGAGCCAGGTACCGTCAACTTGGCCTCTCACTCATCTCGTTCGTCTAGCTCTGTGGAGTGTCCATCGCATAGGCGCTGGCCGACTTGTCCTGCCCTCCCCTCGATCCCCTGTCTTATACTGTAAATAACTAATAAAGTATGTATCACACCTGTCACACCTGTTGTCACCCCACGCATGAACTCACGCCCGCTACATCATCAGTTATAGGCCTGTTCCACAATCTAATATATACATGGTTACTCTTTAAAATGCATGACTGTAGGACTGGGGTATGCTGTGCCAATTTTTCTTGCATAGGCATCAAGCAGTTTTACAATAGTGTTTATGTGATAATATTTATGTACGTCATATAATAATTCGTACGTGTATTAGTAGGGATCAATATGCTATTATGTCTGCCCAGCTCGAATTGTACTTTCCATCAGGTCATGGTCATTATTCATTTGAATTACACCGGGCACCTACAAAACGAGCTGGATAGCGGCAACTAAGCTGCTGCTGTTTCACCTTGTTCAGCCTTCTCTGTGGTTGTTGTAGTTGTATTAGGGTGTCCCAAAAGTTTTGAGAGAATTTCGGTCATGTATTTCGCAACCATGCTGCGCAAGAAAGCGCCGAGGCAGAGCCACGGAGAAAAGGTCAGTAAGAGGTCACGCTTAGCAGATCATCATAACAAGAGAACAGTATTGCACTTTATCTTTGGAAGTGAGTTATCAACATTTGAATTATTTTCGACTGACACGACTACAGGCGCCTTCTGCTTCATTACTACCGATCTGGTCACTCCGCCACTCAAGAGCGGAATGAATTGCAGTCATCGATGGGCAGTACTGCACCATCCCTCGCCACCTGCTATAGGTGGTACGGCCGCTTCTCTAGAGAGAGTTTCACTTCGACGAAGTGCCACGGAGCGGACGTCCACGTTCCACCAAGACCGAAATTGTCTCAGCCTCCATCCAAAGCAATCCTTCTCAGAGCTTGAGGGAAATGGAGAGGACAATTTCTGCTCCCCGTTCCACCATCCACGACATCCTAAGCAGTCGTCGCTTACGCGCAGCAATTCTTGCAACTATCCCCCACACCTTGACTGAGAGCGAGCGTCAGGTGCGGGTCGANGTGGAATATCTGTCATACCCTCGCTACCCGA